TGTTGCCGTAAAGTTAGTTTTTTCTTGTATATTTTTCTTTAATTTAAAGTTCTGGCGTGGTGATTAGTTTTTTCTATATATATTCTTCTTGTATATACTGTCCACTAATTAATTTGCAACTAATTTGGTATTAAATTGCTATATATTCTTTTTGTATATATTTTCTTTAATTGATTTGGTGATCAAAAGTCTTATTTTTTGGTGACCAAAAAAATTGATACCCAAGTAGTAAGTAGCAACTGAATTTTGATTCATTTTATTTATTTTGATTACAAGTTTTCGAATATTAAATATTCATCGTAAGATATAGTTTATTGTGCGTCTTCTCTATTAACTTGTTCCTCTATGTTTTTCACTATGTCTGACGCTGAATATGTAGTATTCGAAAGCTCATAATCGAAATAAATACAATGAATCAAAATTAAGCTCCAATTACTACTTCGCCATTAATATATTACTTCTCATTGAAATATTTTAATGGAAACCGTCCCTCATACAGTTTTCTTCAATGTAGAGAGTTTTGTCAAACCGGTTCATTTTCTTCTATTACATCTGTTAACAATATCCTGTTCTCAAAGGATAATAGCAGAGTCATTCACTCTAAGAAATAGTGTATCTCATAGGATGCGTCTACGTATAATGCGTCTTACAAGCGCATTCATTGCGTCTTGGAAAACAAAAGGGTCTTAATTGTGTCTACAACTAAAAAAATCAAGGACACTTTTAACAGCAAGACACTTTAAAGTAAAAAGCCAGAAAACTGAAAATATTTTTCTCTTTTACATAGCCCCACACCTTAGACTGCAAAGTTGTCTTTAAAAAGCTCCCCGAATCCACTAAGATTTCATCGGTGGGACCATGCTGCATTAAGATCTGCCAGAGTATAAAGTATATGTTTTCAAAAAAGGCCGACATCATTCTGCCTTATACAAGCTAGATTATTGAGGAAGAGCATCAAAACCAAGGGTAAGTCGTGAAATGCTTACGAGAGAACTTTCCCAGAGGATACTTTCCGTTTTCAATGATTTATATGCCGATCGATAGAGGATAGGGTCCTAGTAAAAACTCTAAAAGGATTTGGATGCTTGTTGCCTTTTTCAAAAGTTATGAATTTTTTGTTGACGTGCCCCAGGGACCCAGTAACAGTAAAAAATTCATAACTCAGTCAAAACATTGAGATCCATAACTTTTAAAAGAACCAACAAGAACCTAAATCCTTTTAGAGTTTTTACTGTGACTCTGTCCTCTATCGATTGGCATATAAATCATGGGAAACGGAATGTATCATCTGGGAAAGTTCCCTCGTCAGAGCACACTTTCGAATCATAATCCGATCTTCCAGGGGTCTGATCGCTGTCGCGAAAGAATAAGTTGTGATGCACGCACAAGAGTATTGCCCAGTCTAAGCCCTTCTACGTTAGATCACTTTAAAGTTATCTTTACTGTAAAGTTAAGAAACTGCGATTTAGTGAATCTTACTATACAAGTCCAAGTCCGAAATAACAGCTGAGAACAGATAATAATGACTATTAGTGGCGGGCACTTCATCTGTCTATCAAGTGTAGATATTTGAGTGCATCTTTCTGGAAGATACTTGAAAACAACTTTTTATGACTATAAAAGTTGTTTTCAAGTATCTTCCAGAAAGATGCACTCAAATATCTACACTTGGTAGACAGATGAAGTGCCCGCCACTAAGGCGCTTTAAAGCATCTTTTTTCGATTCGATATACGTGTCTTACTGTAAGACATATTATTTTTTAGTGTGTTTTGCAGAGTTAGTCAAGACAAGTCTGACTTGACCGGCTTGGAGAATCTTTTCGTTGACTTGACTTATTATTAATATTGACACAAAAATTATGAAAGAGTTTCGTTGACTTTGACTTATTAATTTCAAAATGGCTCTGCTATTTAGAGGTCTGCGAGACCAAACGTTTTTAGTCCCGGTCCCATGGTCTCGTAAATAGTTTTTCAAAGTAGCGGTGATAGTCTGAAAGTCAGCGCGTTGTAATATGGCGCATGGGACAGTACGCGTGGGTGGTATTAATTGAAGACTTTAGAATTTTGTGTGAGTTCCTTCACGCAGAACTAGTGCCTACATGCAAACAAGCACAGAAACTAAGAAAGTTTTATGCTCTATACAAGACTATTTTCAAGAAAACCTGGTCCCGATTTTTGGAATTCTTGTTTTGTAACTGAAAATGTGCTTTTCACAATCTGCTCTGAGATCACTTTGAATTACGCAACTTTCTCTACATTATAATTAGAATGTGGTAAACTAAAAATTAATATTCATTTTCTTCGGAGATGCTAATATTCAGATTGTAGCGCAAAGAAGGTCGAGTAATTCACATTAATCCCAGAGTGGATTGTGAAGAGCACACATTCAGTTACAAAACAAGATGCTTGTCAAATTTCACAATATTCTCTTCAAATATTATAACACAAACAACAACAGTAAAAACGATAGCGCAGAGTTACGTGGAATTGCCCTGTAGTGTATCCATGTATCGGAAATAAAATGAAATAAAGTATTGATTAATCTACATATTTATTTGTAAGAACGTTTGCCACAAAATTAAACTTTACTATCGATCCATTTTTGACTTAAGTATGTCTCGCTTATATTTTCAACGAAAACATATAATTCTAGAATGAATATTTATTATTAATTAAATCTTTTGAGCATATAGCTAAATATAACACTGAGTCTGACATACATCTGTGAATTTCAGTTTCAGTACTGTAATTTGATGAATAGATTCTGAATTCAGACATAGCAATGAAATAATGTGCACATGAAACGTTTTTATAAAACAGTGTTTAACGAAAAAATGATTGATTTTGTTGAATAGGTCTACGTAAATCAGATGAATACTCTCCAACAATAAATACATTCAAATAGTACTTTCAAACGTCCTTGATTTGTTTTTGTTAAAGAAATGAAACAGCACCATCCTTTAAGCCATTTTGTCAAATTTGCGCGACTATTTATGATCACTTATACAGAGGGAAGTCTAACCTATTTTTGTCAACTAATTCACTTAGACTAATAGAATAATAAGTATGCGAGATTGACTTTAAAAGAATCAAAAAATCTTAATGGTGTTTTTGCTAGGGGTAAAACGTTTAGTCGGAAGTTGTTTGCATTTTTCAATCGTTTAACTTTCAGAATACTAAAATTTATTCTGTTTGCATTCTTTATATATTAAGTAAAGAATACCAAAATAACGAGAAAAAAATCCCCCCAAACTATGCGATATATATCTTTTATTGTGTGGTCAATGTGACTTTTGTCAGATTGAACAAAAACACTCATTAATTCAGAGAAATCAACACACACTAAAAGCACATTATGTATGATTATATCAAGAAAACATAAACAGAACGTGTTATGTGCTAAGTTATTCCAGAGAATAACCAAATATAACTATTAATAATCAAAATTGATATTCAACAGATGACATCCTGTTTTATTGGTATCATTTTCTTTCGATTGTACTTCTTTAGATATCTTTGATAAAAAACCAAAAACGCGACTATGACTCACTTGTATATGTATATTCTTTTTTATCTTTGTTCAATATGTCTAACTATATCGAAGTACACACTATAGTACCTGTCTTTATGTTTTATTTTATCAAACAGATGAGACAGAATATAAAGATAGTTTTCTATTGAAACGTATATTTTTATAAAAAATACACGAAATGTAAGTCTTAGCAGGGCAGACATGCACACAAGAAGGAAGAAAAGACAAATAAAATTAATTGTATAGACGTAGGTATTTTTTCCAAAGATTCAGCTTTATATAAACGATGAAAAAAGAAAGAAATAAACGTCCAAGCAATAATAATCATGATTATATAGTGATCGTTCGTTCATCGTCACTAATATTTTAAGTCTCCTTACTATTCTCATAAACTAAAGTAATAAGACGAGATCGATAAATTAGCATGAAGCCGAAAAATTTTAGTAATAGAAAAATCCTCTTATGTAGTAATGTACAATGATTTCAAATTGTAGACATACGAATATTTGACTGTTTCATATCTGTCACCAACCTAATCTTGAAATAATAATAATTTGTCCAAATCAGATGAAAAATCACTACTGTTATTAACAGAATTTTTATCTTATTTGAAAATCGGCATAATCATTTGTTACATTATATCTTTCACTATCTAATTACCCTCACCAACAGCATATTTCGTTGTATATTTTTTCTTTTCTACCTTTTTTCGTAATTAAACCATATAAGAATATTTGTATTAGGGAGAAAAAAACAAAATAAATGTTGTATTACATCTATTATGGTGAACATAGTTAAACTGATAGATAAAGTTAAATAAGAAAATAAAGCAGGTACACTTGGTTCGACATGCACACGCAAATGCCTCGAGAATTGACAAACAGTGTTTATAGTTCTTGTCATATATTTGATTAACGAGAAAATCTGACAAGATGTCGAAATAGTTTTAACTATAAGAGCCTTGTAAAAGAAGAAAAAAAAACGTTTGATTGCTGTTTACCAAGTAATTAGCTAGCACAATAGCTCTAAGTAGTTATTATACAGTAGTGCATAATCTATACGTGTGAAAACATATGACAAATGCATACAACAACAACGAATGACATTAAAGCACCTGCACACTGGTATCAAAAAAAGAAAATAATAATCACAAGAATATTTTCAGTTTTTAAAAGAATATGTTTCAAACGTTTTATGCTAAGATATTTGATTTTTGCTGATGATGTACCGAGAACGTGTGTCTATTAAACAACGTCTGTATCCGTCTATACACATTTTGCTTTACTAAATCATCCTATTTTTTTTTCTAACTGAAAAAAATATTATTAATTATTTTGCAATACCTCTCTAATAATTTAACAGCAAAATATCTGTCAATAATGTTATATAAAACTATCAATGTGTGTGTATGTGTGTGTGTGTGTGTGTGTGTGTGTGTATGTGTGCGTGTGATCTATTCTATTAAATTCTAAAAAATATGAAATTGCTGAATATAATCATCATTACAATACGAAAATATCCTTTGATAACAATGATGTAAAAATTTAAGAATAATGATTAATAATAGTTTAGATTGATTGTGTGATATTCCTATGTTACACATTTCTTTTGCACACATACAAAATCTTCCCTGTGCAAAGGTGGACGAAGTTGTATGTTTATAGCAAACATCAATTTTGCTTAGACGATAAAGTAAATAATCATTTACACAACCACGACGAATAAAAACACCATTATTTGTCATATTATCATAATGCAAAAATTTTACACAATAATCTGCGCACTCAAGAGTGCGATTTGCTCGTCTCATGTCAAATGGGTCACGACAATAATCGTCCGTACGTGAATCACATTGATAACAAAGAAATTTTGATATTGTACACGTTTCTTTAGCAAAACTAATTAATACCGAACGGATATTAAATAAAAATGACAAATAAATTTTCAACGATGATGACGACATCTAAAATATTAAAAAAGAAAAAAAACTACACTATAATAATTAATTTTATTAAATAAGGTTCACTTACAAAATTCATTTTGTTATTCAACGTAAACCGTCGTTGACGAATCCTCGAATGATAAACATTAATTAACGTTATGATAATTTTAACAAGAATTAAATAATCACTTGAAAAATAATAATTATCTGAAGAAAAATAATATGGTATCATGACGATTATGCCTGAGAGAGCAGAATTTGTGCATGTATGTCAAATTTTCTTTTTTCATTTGAAATACAATATTTATTGTATGGATGAGCGTTAGAATTATGCCAACGTATATCCATTCTTCTGCATAGCTTAACACTTTTTAATAAAGAAATTGCGTGATAACTTATATTTTTGTTAAAGGAAATAAAAAATTTCCGTTTTTATCACTAAATAATATTTCGATATGAAGAAAGTATGATCAAGTGGTGAATAAACTTAAAGAAGAAAATAAACTTGTGGAAAATTTCAACACTAAATGTCTTTCACATTAGTATTAGATTTTATGAATAGAGTATGCTCAACTTAATGATTTTACATAAAGGCGATAAAAACACTTTTGAAAAAAAAGAAAAAGTGTTTCCGTATCTACTTTCGATATGATAAAAGGATACTATTCACAGATTTTTGATTGTATAGATTAAATAAATCATAGACATTGTTTTATGATAACGTTATACCTGTTTATTTAATATTTAATCAATTGTCTCTAAAAATATTCTTCAGTAATGTTATACTAACCCTATTTCGTTTGAAACATAATCTATGATGTTTCTTCTTTTTCTTATTTCTATTCATAGTGTATCGTTGAAGGTATAAATATCTCTAAATAACTATAGTTAGGTCTCGAAAGATAATGAAAAAATCTACGAATAATAGTTGATGCTTTTTGTGCACCGATATAAAAAAACCACAACCACAATCCAAAAAACAAAACCCCGCCGATTTTCTTTCTTGCCATTTTTTTTTTTTTTTTTTTATCATAACAAGGACGATACTTCTTTTTCTTCTTTTCTTATGTCCACCATATTTTATGTGCAAATTAGTTTTTTCAATAGACGATTACGATAATAATAGATAATCTAACATATCGTTTTGCTGCTACTGTGTTTGACAAATTGATGATAATGGATTCTATCTAACTAACAGTTATTGTCAAACACACGAGACATAAACGACGGATACGAGAGAGTAAACGATAATATTCAATTTTGACATTGAACGATTGGATGTATAACGGTGAATCAACTTCCTATTTCACGCTTTCGTCACATACACTGAAAATGATGATCTTGTATGTGATAAATTATTTGAGTTATTAACAAAGAAAACCATTAGCCTTACATTTGTACTTTCAATGACAATGGTTCAAAGGGAAAACAAAAGATCTCAGAAATAATGATCTCTCTCTCTCTCTTTCTCTCTCTCTCTCCCTCTCTCTCTTTCTCTTAGTTGTTTGTGCAGCTTGAATAATTCTTTATAATCCGATAATTACTTTGTCATCTATCTATCCATTACTTTGAGGCATCGAATAAAAATTATGTTTTATTATGCTCTCCTACAAAACTTGTCTGAAAAAACACTTCCAGTTGAACTGTTTTATACGTTAAAATTGTCTTTTTATATTCAGAGAAATGATGATAGTTGAAAAAAAACAAAAAAAAGAGAATAACACTTATCATTCAATAATAAAATGGAATCTACTTAATAATGCAGTTTGTATAATACACAGATAGAAAATCGATCAGTCATTTTGACTTCTTTCATTAGACTTTCTATGTTTTATGTATTTTAATCTGAAAGTTTATGCCATAGAGGTATAGTTCTTTTACATCTAATTTTCGTTTATTAGGACAGAACGAACTTTCTTTCCATCTGTGCATTACTTATCGATGAGTAAAAAGGAAATGAGTGTAAACAACTCCAGATCATCATCTATTTGAGTTACTCAAATAAATTACCTGTTTTAATGATATAAATCAGTAATGTGTAAAAAATCAAACTTAGAACGTTTGACTGAATACGTTTCTTCTTTTATACTTGCCTATTCACAACAATATGAATTTAATTATTTGAAACTGTGTCGATTTAATCGCTTTCCTTTCCTTTTTTCCGCAATCATATTATATAAATCATGAATAATAGATTATTATTAAATATAGAACATGGGAGAAAAATACCTATTACATCTGCAAAACGTTGTTTAAAGTATTTTGAACTTTCTATACTGGTTTTGACTTTTCCGTTTATTCTATTCATTCTTTTAGGCTTTTTTATGTTAGTGATGATGATGAATATACAATGTCAGAAGGTTCCTTGAAATATTTCTTTTTCTATAATATTTAATTTTTTCTTCAATTTTCTTTTCTTTTTTTGTTTTTTAATGGCACGATTTACGTTCGCATATATATAATATAATATAATATATATATATATATATATATATATATATATTATATTATATTATATATATATATATATATAAGAGAGAGAGAGAGAGAGAGAGAGAGGGCGAGGAATACAATAAGAAAAATAGCAAGCAAGTAGCTTAGATCTTTACTATACTTCATAGAGAAAAAAAATACAAAACACCAAACGAGTAGAAATGATTTTCTACAGCTCATATTGACACGTTTTTACCATATTAATTTGTCGAACTTTTATACAAAATACATATATTCATCTATTATGGAAAGAAAAAAAAAAGAAACCAGTATTTTACCAAATAAACACTGTTGTTTGTTTCATCTTTGAGAATATTTTAGAATATTATGTTGTTCACGCCTCATTTTTGAAAGAAAAGTGATAAATAAGATCCATTGTTGATCATCAGCTAAAGTATTTTTGCATATTTGTCCTTGAAAAACAAGTGAATAATTTTATTAACTTAATTTGATTGTCTCGCAACTTTAATATACCTGAAACTTGTATTAAAATATGATAAAAATAATTTTTCTTGAAATTTATAGACAGGATACAGATATGCTCATATTAAATTATCGGATTTCTCTATTCAATTTTGATATCATGTCAAAAAAACAATAAATACACATTCCTAATTTTAACAAGAAAATAATAACAAAGTTAAAAAAAACGTCGATATTCATTCATCTCAAATGACATTGAATTAAACATCGACTAAAAACAAGTGTGGTCAACATTCTTTTTTTTTTTCTAACATAACTTACAGTTAATAGAAAAATAAACAGAAGAACAACGAAAGATATGAAATTTGAGAAAAATATGAAAACAAATACTACACAGAAAATTTCACTACCATTTTCATCGTATTTTTATTCGATAAGTGACAATTTCAGCTACAGGAATAATTAATTTTGATGTTATATTCAATTCTTTTTTAGTATGACGTAAAGATAATGATGTTTGATGAATTGTTTCAATTTGTTCTGACACAAAAATATTTTCAAATTTAATCTAAAATATAAAAGATGTATCAATAATAAATTCAATCCTTCTAAAATCTAAGAACTCTGTACAGGAGATGCGGTGGTCAACTGTTTTTTCTTTTTGTTACTTACATCATTGAATTGATAAAGATTATCGTAATCTTGAACACAATCGTACGAAAATTTTCTTAATATAAGTGCCATACTTTTTGATACATGTATTTCATCGTTTAAATTATCATTTAATGTACGAAAATTGACAAGATGAACATCACCGGGTAAAGAAAAATCATTCGAAAATAAATTTATTTTATTTGATGATGGATGTTCAGAAGAACTTTTTGTCATTTGTAAAGTATGCATTGGATATAATAATTGCATTGATAGATGATGTGCAAGTAACGATGGATAACCAGTAAGAGAATTTTGATCAACATTCTACGGAAAAATGAACATTTTAAAGTAAATCATGAACAACGAACATTTTCTTTCATACCATCATATCTTTACGATTTTCAATCAGTATTTTAAACACACTAACTATTTCTCGATTATCCATAACGCCTTGACCTAAACCACGGTTATCATCCCTCAACAAACGACGATCAAGAAATACATCGATAAGACCTTTAAAACAGTAAAATATCGATGAAACATTAGATTAAAATTAGATGTTGAAAAGTCATTTACCAGTTTTGAGACTCGCAACACCACTTGGCTGAGCTGAAATAACTGTCAAACGGAATTGATCATCTTGAATAAAGGACATTGATGACATCGGATAAACATTAGCTTGTAAAGGTAGTTTGTCATAAGTTTTACGTTGAATGATCTTTAAATAAAAAACGTTAACTTACAATACTACTAACAAAATAAGAAACAGTTTGCAAGAAAATTTTTTTGTAAATAAGAAAATTTCTATGCTAAACTTACTTGAAAACCATTTAAATCTGTAAAGAACACTTGACCATTATTAATATTGCTTGATAAACGTAAGGCGAGTTCAATATCGCTATTCATTGTTAAAAAAGTTGTGGCACCTATTTCAAGGATTTGCCTATCTAAGCCTGAATACATATAAAATAAAAATAAAATTACAAGAAATAACCATCATTTTTGCTTAGATAAATTACCATCTGTATTTGCTAATTTATACTGAAGACCATAAAGTTTATCTAAAACATCCACACGACTCACTAATTTTCCATGTTGAATACGAACAATAACATCTGAATCTGATGGTACTTCCTTGATAAAAAAAAAGAAAGTGTGACAAGCTATATCGTATATACATTAATAAGAACTTCTACTTACTTTTCCTACACCATCTGGTAAAAATAAGTAAGCACCACTATTAGACTTTGAATCTGTTCCATAACGAATTATATTAACATTCAATTTCGTTTTCTTCTGGTGTTGTTGTCGTTTGATATTAAGTAATAGGCCACTTTTGGAAAATGTACAGATCAAATAGTTGTTTTCAATTGTAATCGCTTTTGTTGTTGATGATGATAATTTAAATGGAGTGTTTGGTTGTATTATATGTTTCTTATCAGTATATTCAATTGTTGACATTGGACATGGATTATCGTCTGTATATTGAATAATGTATGATTTAACTGTATATGGTTCAATATCGACAAGAAACAACAACTGTAAAATAAAACATATGAATTGATCTGTTATGAATTTTATATTTTGAGATTAATATATACTTCGAATGTATCCGATGAAAATGTGTTCGAACGTTTTCCTGTCCATTTTGGATCAATTTGGCATTGAATAGAAACAAATGAGGCATCTAATGTTTGATACTTAACTTGAACATTATACGTATCAATTATTACTTTAACAATTTCTATACGTTGTTGATCCGTTGGATTGTAAATATATACAGTTCTAGAATAAAAATAGTATGTCTTTTTTCACCTCTGTCATTATTACAATGAATAATTTACTTTGATTTTAGTTCATCAGTTTTCATCGTAATCAATTTTCTTTGTGGTAATCCATCATATTTTTCCATTACACTATTCATTGTCAACAAAGTTTGATTTAGTAAAAATGAATAAGATTTATCAAATATCAAAAATGAAATGGACTCTTCAATTATTTGATGACACGAACGAATAGCTACTAATAGTCTAAAATAAGAAAGCTGTTTTATCTATCTAGAGGGCAAACTTCCTGTTACAATGTCACTTACTTTTCTCCGTAATCATTGACTACATGATCTTTGGCTGTTCCTGTTATACCATCATGATGTTGAAACAATGCTAAATTTCTTCTGGCTGTTGATAAAATTGTATAAAATTTATCCATTGGAAACCGTTCTTGATCTATTTTATGTTTAGATATTTTCAAATTAATATTGGAAAATAAAATTTCGGTTGCTCTTAAAAGAAGAACATTCAACATAGTTATGACGATAAAAGGAAGATTATTTTTTCTGATAATTAACCTTAAATAAGACTCAACAATTCGATCTAAACGTTTAAAAAACGATCTTGATGTATAATAGCCACTCCAATAATGATCATTTCTATCGGCATAAGTAAAAAAGTCACCAGCATAGGAGGGAAATTCTTCTTTCTTCTTTGCCAGTTGAAGTTGTTCAAAATAATCGTTGAGTGTTCCAAACTGAGCCTAAAATCTTTTAACATAACAGCAATTGGTCTTGATGTTTATATTCAATTCTACATTACTATACAACTTACATCCACAGACCAATCCGATCGTCTATTCATGTAATTAAATAATTTTTCATAATTACCAAATTGTTTTGACGCTTCATTTGCACTACCATAACGAAAATCATCACCTAATTGAACGAATAATACATTTGTTTGATATAATTGAGATTTTTTTCGATATTGATCAAGTAATAGTAAAGCTCTAAAATAAAATTATAACAAATAAATTGTAAGATAAAATTTATAATCACCAGTACCGTTGTTCAACGTTGCTGTCTGTTATTTGTACGGGTGCTATACCCCACGGACATGATATATCAGATGCAAGAACGCGTTTAAAATCAAACTGACAACAAATTCGTGGATCAGGACCACAAGTGTGCGGTATATCGTAGGAATAAAATGGCATCACGTGGCAAAGAATATCTGTACTGGCAGAACGATCCCACGCTTGTCTCCATAAAAATTCTAATTTTTTCTCTTTAGCCATGGATTTTTTCACATGATAGTGAACACGTTGAATTGCCATATGTTCGATTCCCATACGTTGAAGAAGATAGGCCATTGTTGGACTGTAACCAAATGGATCATTTGCCCAACCATTTTTTAACTTGACATCGCCTTAAAAAAAAACCGAATATTTTTGTTCTATTTGATTGAATTAAATTCTATTTATGCTCTTTTTATCAGAACATACCTAAATGATTTTCAATCCATTGGTGTCCTTCAATTAATTGATCTATCATTGCATAGTAATGAGTATTTGCTTCATCATTCATAACCCATCCGCCTGTAACAATTTCTAATTGTCCATTGTTAACTAATTTTTTACATAATTCTTTTTTTTCATTTGATGCTTGTTCCCACCATAAATGTAAGTAAGATATTTCAGCCCAAACAAATTTATATTTTGAATTTGATGATAAAGCTGTTATTATTGTATCGATAATATTTTTTGTTTCTTGATTAAAATAATCTTCGAACGTGTAGATCCAGCCGGGATCACAGTGACTATGTGGCATTAAAATAATTTTTAATTTATTATTATCTGTCCATTGAGATTGTTGATAGGTTATATCGAATCCTTGCTTCCATACACCACCATCCACATCGTCAAATGGTAATGTTTCATATAACTGACGCATCTAAAAAAAGAAAACAAAGTTATGTAGAATGTTCTACAAAAATATAGAAAACAAATTGTACCTCAAATGTTGTATTTATTAGTGGTGAAGCACGCCATGCACATTGAGGATTACTCTTACTCTCTATGACTTGTTCAGGTTTTTCTTCCGCGTCATGATCAATATGTTTTATTTCTGGTTTATTTGTCAATATTTCTTGTTTAACATCCCGTTGTATTAGTTCGTTATCTTTACCATACTTAAATTTATCATCAGCAACATCTTTGACAGATAATTGTAATTCTCGTATGGAATCTTCTAACGCATTTAAACGATTGATGAACTCTTTTGAATCTCTCTAAAGAAATAAAATATTCTTAATCTTTTCTAGATACTCTGCTAATTGGTGCGATAGAATACTCTGTATTTTCTCAATGTCTTTTTCAATTTTCATCGACCAGATTTAATTCTTTTTTATAGGAATCTCCATTCACTTCTCTACACAAAACATTTTGAACATTTCTTTATATACTATAAGAATACAACGACATAGAGGAAATATGGGAAAGCTTCAATATCGATTACTTTTAAACCCCAAAAAATGGTTCTTTAGTTTCAATTCTTTATATTTTACGATATAAAAAAAGAGAAAATGGCCATTTTGTAGTTCTTGAATAGTTCTATCAACTGGCTATATTTAAGATTCTTCATAGGCACTAGCGGTTGGAGGAGGATTTCTTTTCTTTTAGCGAGCGATTTTACTCACAATCACCACTTTCTAACTGCAGTTTTGAGGCACTTAGGAAAATTTGTATAATTTGGTCAAAATCACGTATTATGAGGTCGAGTCTGATTTTTCCTAAAGCAAAATAATTCTTCTATTACATTTGAACAGAGAACATCGAATAGCCGTATTTCGTTTTCAGTGCTAAGGCGCAAAAGTCATATTTTCCTCTTCTATTTTTACTTTCAGAAAAAATGTTTAAAGAGAACTTATGATACATGAAAAGAAAGGTGACATTCCAGAGCACCAGAAAATATGTTTGGATTCCACTTTGATGTATAGCGCCCGTATTCAACATAAATACTTTTTTGTTTGTGCTTTGGATTTAAAAGTAATTGTTTTTCCGTATTTCTTCTATAGTTTTTTATTGTTATAGTATATAAAGAAATATTCAATATATTTTGTGTAGAGAATTGAATGGGGAATTCTATAAAAAAAGAATTAAATCTGGTCGACAAAAATTGAAAAAGATATTGAGAAAATACAAAGACTGCCATTTATTCTGTCGCATCCGTTATTTTGACACAAATAAGTGAAAAGAATAAAAGAATATTTGACTAAAATATTCATGAAAAAAAACGAGAAAATTATTTCACAAAACTTAATCCGATTCACTTGATAAAAAAATAAGTGCCAACATTCAAAAGATATATACAATTAATGAAACATTCTCTCTTAAATTAAACATACTTGATTTGTAGTTTGATTTGATTGCAACATTGAATAGATGAGGAACATTATGAAGAAGAAAAAAACTAAAATGACTAATCTAGACAATCGTCGAATAGCCATCTAAAACAGTCAATATTCGTCGATGAGAAGCTAGGATATCGATTTAATTCATTATCTTTTACAAATCGATATTTTGTGATCAGCATTTTTCTCCCCTTTCTCAACAAAATTCAAGAATAGCAAGAGCATAAAATATATGTCGTATTTCATTTTCACTTATATTTAGTAACATATGATACAGAAAAATAAAATGAGTAAAGTTAACAATAAAGGAACTTTGAGTGTTGTATTTGTTTTAAAAAAATTCCTCTTCTTTTCTTATAATTTTTGAATCAAAATTTATAAAAAAAAGAAAAGAAAAAGAAAAAGAAAACAAACAAAAACTTAAACTACAGTATGCCTCGAAAATATTTAGCATGCTAGTTTTCAACAACATAAGTATGATTTACAATCACATTCAATAAAAATTACACAAAACAAGTTACCAATTTATTTATTAATACAGAATACACAAAAGAGGTGGCTACTTAAAACAGAAAGAAAAAAAAAAATTGTTGAAAACAGACATCAAAACAAGTGACCATATTCTATTTAAATAAGAGTGAAATATTCATTATTGAAAACAAAAACTTATTTGAAGAAAGTTTGTTAAAAATTCCACTCTAATAAAAATGATATGCAAATAGTCAAGTAAAGGTCACAGTGACTAGTCAATTCTTGTTATGTAAATAGTCATTTTTTATTAAATTAATTAAATTTGGGAGAAAGGTAAAAAGGTGAATATTGCAAATATTTCCCCGTTTGACAATTAAAACGAGTTTATGACAGATCATATGAATGTGAAATAAACAATAACATTAAAAAAATAAAATCTTTTTGATTTTATCAGCTGCTAAAATTTAAAATAGGATCAAGTTTTTGCTTTACAAAAATAATGATTGAGATTAAAGATTGAAAAACAGCATCATTGCTCTACTTCAACAACTTTTTCCAACAAAATATACAAATGTCGGAAATAAATCCTATAATACCATTGATTAGATTCTTCAAACCTCATCGATCTTTAATCAATACATCAAAAACAAAAAGAAGAGAATTAATCAATAAAGAGTGTTATTATTTTGTACAGTGTGTGTTACATTAGAATTCGTATTTTGGAATGTTAAAACAACAAATATCGAACAACTAAAAACATTTTACCACGTATATAGACGAAAAATGTCTAGTGTAAAACAGAAAGGTTATAATTTAATTTCTAAAATTAATAAATAAATTTTGATTTTTAAAACGAGATTCGAAATATTTGTAAAATTTTGTCAAAATAATAATCACTGTTTTTGATCAAATTAAATGAGTATGAAAATGAACACAAAAGAAAAACAAACAAACAAAAAATTAATAAAGAACAACTGTACATATTATATATTTATAAATACAAACCATTAATCAAATAATCAGCATCCGTTGTTCGAGATTTCGTTGTTCGTCCCCTTTTCCATGAATCACGAAAATAAAAGCTTACAAGAACAAATAAAACAACAGTAAATATAAAACCGACTAAAAATATTAAAATAAGACTTGATTCACGTAAAATTGATGCTGAGTGACTTTCTTGTAAAGCAGGATTTAATCTATGATTTATGTCGTCGTCATTCACTAAAAAAATTAAAAAAAAACACGTTATTTATTTGAAGATGCAAAAAAAGTCAATAAATTTTGAACTATTTGAATATATATAAAAAAAGAGAAAATTCATCACTAACTAAAAATATATTTTAATATTCAGCACAAGTTTTCTAGTACTTGATGCAAGTTAAAAAACTCATTGATTATGAATAATAACAGCAATACAATGACATGACAACATCGAACAGACTACCTTTTCGATCAACAGATAATGATATTGTTGACGATGTACGTTGTTTTTTGTTGTTCATTTTGCGCATAACCGGTGATGTATCGTGAACAAATTGTTGTCTATATATATTTTCTTTATAAGGTACAGGACGTCGATCATCAAAATATCGATTTGATCGTCCACTGTCAGATGATGGTTGCCAATAATAAGAGTTATACGTAGATGGTCGTTCATTAAAACCACCATTATCATAAGATAAATCATCTTCTCGAGATAGACCATTGTACGTATCATCAACATCAACCAAATCGTCATCTACTATTGGACGTTGATAATGTTGTTGTTTAGTTTTTGACTTTGATTTACTTATTTTATCATTATGATCAGATTCGTCTTTTAATTTATTACGCATTATTAAATTTTTTAGTTCATCTTCTTCATCGGATTTTGTTGTGGCTGCTATTGTTGTAGACACTGAAGTAGTTGTTAATTTTGTTGATTTAGAAAATTTTTGATTTTTTGCCCAATATTCACCATCAATCGTATCTTCATCTTGATTATCTTTAAAATATTCATGATCTTTCAATTTTTTTCCATGTTCAACTTCTACTTTTTGCTGTTGTTTCTGTTTATTCATTATATATTTTTCTTCCAATTCAAGCAAATGTTCTTTAATCAGGTCTTCAGCTGTTTCTGATTTTAATGGTATATCAGCATCGTTACGCTCTTCAAGATCAAAATTCTGTTGATCTTGTTGTTGTTGTAATAAATTTTGAAATAATTGATACCATGCCTCTGGTCCTTTTGTCTCTTCTAAATGTTCCTTTAATTTTTGTAATTTTGAAATTCTTTGTTCAGTATCAAAATCAATATCATGTAAATAAATAGAAGAACGAGATGTATTTGTATGTGGAAAATTTCCTAAAAGTTTTATTATATGTGACTTAACCAAACAATACTACTATTTGTAAAATTCTTGCCTGCCACTTTATTTTTTCCATTTGGTGTTTTCTCTTGGTTGTCGTACCGTTCATCACCAACTCTATCTTCGGTTTCTTCTTCACGATAACTACTGTCTACAGATGGCTTTATTTTGACATTTTTCCTTGTTGCTTCTCCTAAACGTCTTTCATTCGCTTGTATACCCTGGTGCAATAAAAACTCTAAAAATTATACCAATCAACTGTTTTACTCAAGAATTAATTCAACAACAACAACATCAAATACACAAACGATATTCACGACAATATGACGACTACACAACATCAACAATAGCATTATTTCATACCAGCTGAGCATAAAGCTTCATCGATTCCTGATGAGCAATCATTATAACTATTACAAACATCGTAATATGGTATACAAGTACCATCACGACAAGAAAATTCAATACTTCGACAAACAGCTGAAAATCAATTAGTTAAATTTTATATATAAAAAAAATTCATCGGCTCGTACAGAGAATAAGTTAGACTTCATGAAAAAAACAACTTACAAGATACGGACGATTCATTCACTTTTGTTGAACTTGTTTTTACATCTATTTCATTGTTGATTTTGGGTTGTTGTGCCGACGACGAATCGCCATTGTTCGGTTTTAATACCATACTTGTGTAATTGTCATGCGATGCGAATGTACAGTTATCATTACACATGAATAAATAGCATTTGTAACCTTCCTAAAATAAATGCAATAATTTTCCACTTTTTGAACCTTAAGCCTGACTAAAACACTCGTCCAAGAACCATTTAGTTAGCAGATCAATGATAGAGAATGTCGATAGTCTGTCATTTTAATTGCGAATGCAGTAGAAAAGAGGTATTTCGTAGAAAATTTTAAACTGGATTGAAAAGGAAAAGGAAAGAATATTTAGTGGGTAGAAAAACCGACTGTACGCTTTATTTTTGATTTTTCTCACTACAATAAACAAATAAAAAAGAACCAAATAATTGAAAGAGTTATTTATTCTAGTTATCATAAGATGTGTTTACGCATTTTGTTGATAAATGTCTGTCATATGCGACCAAATTATTTGCAAAAAATTGACTGATCAAACTCTGGTACCGGGTTTTCTAGGATCCTAGTTTTTCTGAAAAAACCTAACCCTGCTTATAGTAACTCTCAAAAGAATTTCATACACACTCAGTTATTTTGTTCTGTTTTTTCAAGTTTATTCTAGTTATTATGGTTGAGGAGAAAAATCAAAAATAAAAGCGTACAATTAGGTTTTCCAGCTACTGTACTTATTTTAAACGAATACAGAGCCTTTGCTCGGATACAACAATGTATAAATCAATATTCATTTCCCACTAGACTTACACTTGTTCGTTGATTCGACAACATTGCCATATCACAATCTTTTTCCACACAACAATGTAACATACATAAATCTTTATTATTTAGTCCATGAGCTGATGATGTTTCAATTACTTTAACAATTCGAATGAGACGGCCACCATGTTTATCGAGTTCTTTTGCTTTAACAATCATAGATGGTTTTACTTCGTATTCATTAATACATAAGGATGCTTCTGAAAAATAATCTTTTGCTTTCACAGTCGCTGTTGTAATTAATCGAGTTCGATTTGAAAATGAAGAATAATGGTCATCACTAACACGTTCATCTTCATTTCCATTTGGCTTTTTATGTGGTGGATACTTTTTATCACGTTGAAAATAATCACTTAACAATGAATCATACAAAGGTGGTATAATCTCTTTATTTCCAGTTAGACGATGAACAACGTCCGATTCTTCTTCTTCTGTACGATGATTGTTATTTTGCTGATATAATTTATCATCATATTGACTTAACAATAGTTGAAGAAGTTCTTTGTTCTTCGTTAGATCTTCGTCATTTTCATTATACAAATCATCAATGTAATCGTCGTTTGTTTTAGATCGATGTCGATAACGTTCAACCAGTAAAGACGAAGAAATATTAGAAGCAAAAAGTAGGACAAAAAATAGTGCGTAGTTCATCTAAAAATAAAATAAATAAAAGATTAGATCGGTCTACTCTCTAGCAAAAGAATATAGAATAAACTTCTAGCATTTTTCTTGTACTAATTAAAATTTTATGGAAAAAAACATGATGTATAGTAAACAATAAAAATTAAGTTAATACTGGAATTTATGTACAATTAATCAGAATGACTATAAAAGTATTCTATATACTGCTAATTTCAATAAGCAATCAAGTCGACTTTAACTTTTTATTTTAGCTTGTTGTTATCAAATTAATTTTTCTAATAGTGTCACACTTTCTGCAATAATCGAATCAAACATATCTACTAAAAGGTCGGATAGATGTTCTGACATGACAAATTTTATAGCATAACTAGTCAATTATTAAAAAGTGGCACGTATGAAAAATGGTGAAAAAAGTGATCGTCTATCGAATTTACTTCGAAGAGATAACGAAACGATTTGTGCATTCAACTGTATAACTGCAGTTTTCAAACAAGTATGATTCTTGCAATTTATTGTGTCTTCTAGATTCTACATAATTGTTAACAATGCAAAATTTAAAAAAAAAATTTAAAAATGTTCTGAACAATGGAAAGAAAAAACGCTTAAATATTTGTGCAAGGTTTCATCAAATACTCCATTTAAGTTTTTCTAAACGGAATCACGTTCGGACGTGAAAATCAAATATTCTAGTAAAAAAGAATCAAATGATCGAAGGAATTTTCCGTTCTAAACCATCAAACATTTTATGTTTGCGAGTATTTGGACGTTGATGAAACTTTCCTGATTGAATGACTTCACAAAAAGAGGAACACTGCACAGCACACATAGTGTTGATAATATTATAAAATGTAACACCGAATATTGAAAGTATAACATTAAAATTTGAAAGCAAGAAAACGAAATGATTCTGCTCGCTCGTGTATGAAAACATGTGATCAGAAAATAATAATAAACTAAATCAATTCTTAGAAAAAAACGAATAACAAATCATTCGATCACAAAAAAAACTTTCAAAGGAAAGAAATATATGAGATTAAGGAAGACAACGATTCTCTCATTGTGTCCACATATACTGAACGTCGGGATAAAAAACATTTAAGCATCAGAAGTGGAAGAAAAGATCATTTACATGATCTAGCATTAGAGATCAACAAGCAACTAAGACGTATAATGAAACTGAAAAACTGACGCAAACAATGTACAACAAAAGATGATACGGCCGTATCAAAAACATCATAAAACACGCAGAGAAAGAATGCTTAGAAGGAAACGACTAGAAAAATCGTAGCTAAGTTTTTCATTGTAATTATCAACGATGGTTTATTCTTGCACTAATACGTTCCTTTCGTAAAGCATCTAAATTTTCTTTCAATTTTTCAGTGACACGTACACGTGGACCAAGTGTATCAAATTGTAAATTCAAACGTAATAATGTATTATTTTGTGATATAGCATCGGCTATTGCCATTTCTACGCGATTTCCTAATACTTGTGATCTCTAGAAAAGAAAACTCTCATGTTAGAATCGAGTAAGAAAGAATCTGCAATGAAATACTTGATTTGATAAACGTAATTCAATTAATGATTGGTGTTTCAATGTTGCACGAACAATTTCGGCAACAATAGAACCAGTAAGTCGATTTGATTCAGCATTAATCGTTTTCAAAGTTGAATTAGCTTCAACTAATTCGGCCAAAACCTGAAGAAAAACCGTCTTTCAAATTCTTCGCTAATGTGTTTAATTTATACGCACTTTTCCAATACTGTCCGGCATTCCGATATTAGCCATTTCAAGATTTTGAACATTTGTATTTGTTTTCAAAGCGTTTATTAATTCTTTCATTGTATCAGCCGGAATTTCTTTAATATTATTGATGTTAATACGTTTCATCGTACTATCATTTTCTTTCGCTTTTTTTATGCAATCTTTGACATCTGTCGTATTATCGGGCTCATGAGAAACAAATTTTAGTTGTTCAGCTTTCGCCACAGCTTCAATAAAGAAAAATATTTAAAAGTTGGACTAAGTTATATTCGGTCTTTACCATTCCAACCACAAGTGGGCGTAGATGCATTCGCCGTTAATGCTGCGTGATATTGTACTTGATTTACTAAACCAGTGAAACCAAGAATAGCTAGAAGAAAGATATAGTTAATTAGTCAACAATACAGAAACTCCTCAGTAGTACTAACCCGCAAGTTCAACAATTTCTGTCTCACTCGCGTTCGTTAATAAATCATCCCATTCAGTTGTCATCGGCAAATCATCATCGTCAAAAGTTGGTTTAACCGCTTCGGGAGGTTGCCATACTTTTCCTGATCAAAAGAAAGACCAGATTATAATAAACTACAAGAAATTTTGCGAAAAAAATTCAAACCTTTCTTTTCTCCTGGTGAGTATTCTTTATAATTTTCCCAATCTTTTTCATTTTTTCCTTGTTCTTCAAGAAATTTTAATAAATGTGCTCGTTCATAAGGACCAGTTGCGACTTTATTTGTTTGATCTTTGCACCGCTCTGCTGCTGGTAAATACGTATCCTATAAAGAGAAAAAAATGTAAAACTTACGAAGTCTGAAAGATATCGAACACCAGATAGACATTTGGTGATTTATTCCAAATGGGAATAAAATAAATAACTGTTCATCATATAAACTAGAAATAAAGGATAAAGCTGGAACGACATGAAACGATGACTCGTATCTGGGTACTTGTCAAAATAGATTTTTTCTCTCGCCTGTAACAGCAGCGTATTAATAAACCGTTTTTGCCTCACTTTAGCAAGTGTATTGCAATTCTTAGCCGCATTTTTTCTCTTTCATTCTATGCTCATACTTTGCTTGATTATTACATTTCTAAATGTGATATGTAATGTCACAACAACAACAATCAATCAAAGTTGAAATATCAGTTAGCAAACGGCTTTACTCTATGCTGATGATCTAGTGGCAATGTGTGAAACAGCTGACGATCTTGAGACTTTCATACGAACTTTTGAAAAAGTTACTCAAGAATTTGGACTGACAATGAGCGTCAAGAAAACATGTATTATGACCTTACAACAGTTCGAAGAAGATCATAACAGAAAGCTTTTAAAAGACAGAGAAGTAGTCTTTCCTGGATTTGACATCACAATTCGGAATCAGAAGATTGAAACTGTTGACTCTTTCACCTACCTAGGATGTAGCGTAACAAGAGACCAAAGATCAGATAGTGAAATCAGTACAAGACTGAGTAAAGCTGCAACGGCATTCAATATGTTAAGACATGTGATTTGGAGCAGGAAAAGCATTTCAATCAAGTCGAGACTAAAAGTGTTTCGGGCCTGTGTTCTCCGTGTCTTATTGTATGGAAGTGAAACGTGGTCAATCACAAGTGCACATGAACGTAGAATAAACACCTTTTATATGAAATGCCTACGTACAGTCATCGGTGTGAATTTAGGCGATAGAATGCCAAATGAAAAGATCTTAGAAATCACGGGACAGCCACCAATTGACAAC